CGTCATCATGCTTGCTATTATTATATGGATGAAGAGTTCAGTAAACTATCAAGACAGATTGTAAATTCTCAGTTATTCACTTCAGCTGCTCAATATGTCAGCATCTACAATATCAAAGAATGTGTAAGCAAATTTATAAACTCTTTGAATGTAAATAGCATTGTCACACAGACTTGGATCAATATGGATTTTGAACATAAAAGAATAAGAGTGAAGGAGGTCTGGTTTTTTTTGTGGATTAAAGCTTAAAACTTGAACTACAAAATAGTGAAAAAAGGTGGCCAACAACATACTAGAATGAATAACAACAGAAATCTGCCATGTGAGTTGAGTTGTGTTAACAAACAGTTGAACGGGATTACATTTAGAAAGATGTGAAATGAGATTTAGTTAAATTGTTGGAGATTATGTGATTACATTGTAAGAACACATTTTGTTCACCCATCTGCAGTATAAGGTGTGGTATTATTATCTTTATTTATCAGATTTGTTTAAATGGTTTTTGTAACGGCAGGGATTACATCGCTCATTAAAATGTCAGGCAACTTGTGTTCATTAACTGGTTACAAAGTAGCCACGGAACACAAAGTAATCTGACCCAAGCGTGCCCAACAGCACCTCTAAAGTGTATGGGCATCTTGCTGGAGTCATTATTCCATATTTACTTCCAGCTCTTTTTCCATGAGTATGCCCAGATGTCATTGTTCCAAAAAAGTTTTCCATAAACCTTCAACATAGTGAGCAAAAGTAAATCAAAGGAGATCATTCTCTGCAGCAGAATAGAATCATTTGCTACATGCTTTAACAGATAGCCTTACAATAGTCCTTGCAGGACTTAAACATACCACTTTTAAAATGAAAGATGGATATTAACGATAATACATTTATTATTTATTTTGTATTTTTTTATTCTTTATCCAGTTCAGAAGTTACATCATCATCTTCAGAGCGAAGAGAAAACACAGAGCTGCCAACAATCCTGCAGCAGGCCCACGCTGGAGTCACATCAACATCACATTATGACTCAAACACATTAAAATTTGAGAACTTACCACACTGTTACAGTCAGGAGAAAAAAAATTCAGTCAAGTCTGTTTGTTCAAATGTTTCCAACAGATCTTTTGGAAATGGCAGCAGGCATAAAGCAGATCGGTTAATTGTAAGTCCTCGATGTCATGAACAAAGCCCTCACCAGTGCTCAGGATGGGCCAAACTGGGCATAAATGTTCCTGAGAATCATTGCGAGTCTGCCTCTAACAGGT